AAAAACAAAAAAAAAAAAAAAAAAAAAAAAAAAAAAAAAAAAAAAAAAAAAAAGACTAACAACAACAAAAAGAATGATTCACTTGGATTTTGCCATAATGCCATACTATATATTCAGAGACGTGTAACTGGTATTAGACAGAAGCAGTTAGTTCAGTGGAGGAAGAGTGGCCTTGTGGAGCACAGCAGGGCAGGAGGTAAGGGAAGGACTTGTCTTCAGGTACCTGGAGGGCCTCCAGCTTGGAAAAGGATTAGGACACTGACTCATTTTGGCAGAAAGAACCAAAGTGACTGGCAGAACCTCTACTGGTTTCAGTATAGTGTAGAGTCCACAGGGGAGGCTGTGGGAAGCCCCCAGAGAAGGCACACTGCCTTCCCAGATCCTGAGCCGCTTGTCCTGGAAGTTTAGAGTGAGACCAGATGGCTATTTGGCTGCGTAAAAGACTCAAGTGACAGATGGCAAGTAGACTACATCCTTCACCTTGGTGTCCTTTATCCACCTGGGAACCTCTTAAAAATAGATTTTCAGAGCATATTTCCAGAATTAATAACTTAGAATCTCCTGGGGTGGAACTTAAGGGTGGTCTATGTTTAGAAAATAAATCTCTCCAGATGATTCTAGTGTAGCCACTGGCATGAACCAGCCTCTGGCGGCCACCAAGTAGGTGGCCTGGTGGGCTTTGAGACCGTCTGTGCCCAGTGAGTGATCTGCGGTCGAGCTGAAGCTGGAACACAGGCCTGAACGCACTCCCCCTCACGTTGCCCTCATTCTTGAAGGGCATCTAAGGTGGAGTGGTAGGGCAGAGAGACAGGCAGCAGGATCTGGAGACTGCTGACCTAGCTGTATCTTGTGACTGGTGTCCCTTGTTAGGGGCTCCTGCCCCCACATGCTAGAGTATTCACTACTGTGCTCTCTTAAAGGCGACTCCCCTTGAATGAGCCACAGACATAGCTGGAGCGTGACTTGCTGAGACTGCAGTGCAGCCGGCAGCTGCCGCATCCTGTGAAAGCCTTTTCTTTATGGGAAGTGAATGAGTCAGATGGGCCTGACTGGGAAACCCATTATGAGGAAATACTGAAGTGCAGAACAAAATGGTGTTGAGCCAGAAAGGAAGCAGTTAGGGGTTCCCAGCTTTGAAACATCATTGGGAAAGTGCTCCTGACGAGGGTGAAGGAGGTTGGCTCCTGTGTGCCTTTCATTCTCATAGCCTGGCCGTAACTTGGTTAGTAAGTGTTGAGTTCTTCCTGTTATGTCCAGGGTAGGAAGGGCAAAGTGTAAATGAGGTGCAAGCTCTTCCTTTGTGGCACTCCCTGGAGTGGAGAGAGGTGTGTAAGCTGATACAGAAGAAGGTTGGGCACTCAGCTGGACGCGTCGGTTATGAAAAAGACAGGAAATAGTAGTCCTTTGTTGCTAAAGTTTTTTAGGCAGAGAAAGGGAAACTTTTGAGAGAGAGAGAGCATAGCGTCCACAGAGCCACAGAGGTATAAATGCAGATTTAGAGAGGTTGTGATGTTGGACTTAACAATGAGAAAATGAACCTGAGCAGCTGGCAGACCTGGAAGGCCACGGGCACCTGCTGGAAGGAGGGGAGTTAGGAGTTAGAAGGTTTTAGGACGGCTGCGTCTTTGCCTGCGTTGACACTGCTCTGGAAGGTTGCTTGACTGGAACTTAGGGGCTGCTGAAGAGGAGCCCAGTGCTAATTATCTAGTTAAGGATCTGAAGTTAAATAGTAGAACTGGGGACAGAAGGAGGGGACGATTCAGCTGATATGTAAGGAAGGGACTGTGTAGGCATGGACATGATTCTGCAGGTCATCACAGTTCTCAGGAGAATAATGGAAGAGCTGTGTGCCAGAAAGCAGACTGCCAGAACACCCAGGTCTCGTATTAACTTGAACGTCCCCTCTTCCCACAGGTTAGAAGTCCAAGCCGATGTCCAAAAGGAAATTTTCCCCAAAGACACAGCCAGTCTTGGTGCAATTAGTGACAACGCAAGCACTCGTGCTATGGCCGGTTCCATAATCAGTTCCTACAACCCACAGGACAGGTATGTGAACAGTCAGAGCCCGGGGCAGGCTTTATTCATTGGGTGCTAGGTCTTCAGAAGATCACTCCTCATCTGAGGGCCCTGTGTGTCGTCTAGTCGGAGATGTGTGTTGGTGAATCCATTGAGCACTTTTGTGGTACTGGAGCATTTAGCATCTCTGGACTCTTAGAGACTACCTGCTTTCTTCCCTCCCTGTTTCTTTTCCCATCTCCCCTCTTCTTTTTTCTAGCTGTTGGCACAGTCTAATTCAATTTGGAACCCAAAGAGCTGGGTTGATATTGGCTGGTGTCTTAAGTCTAAGGCTTCTGTTGCCCTTTGCTGGATCTGGTTCCATACTCTCTTTGCTTTCATTTGGAACTTTGTGTCTGGCCTGGTATGGTTGAGGGCCTCCATACTGCAAAGGTTATGGCTTTTGACTGTGGCACAGTCATAGAAAGCTGCCAAGTTGCATTCACATTCATATTTGAAGTAAGATAGGATGAGGTTCTTAGTTGAACTCTGGAGGACCTTTTTAGATATTCTAAGGAGAGGTTTTGAAGAGTGTGCACATGCATGTAGAAAAGGGAAAAGTGCGCTCTGGTCCACTTTGACCCATCTCTTCTAACTACTTAAGCCAGAAACCAGAAACTATTTTGTGAGCAGCTATAACAGAACCTAGTATGACTCAGTGTGATGAATTTGTCTCCACAGAGAGTGCAACAATATGGAAATCCAAGTGGACATTGAAGCCAAACCAAGTCACTATCAGCTGGTGAGTGGGAGCAGCACAGAGGACTCGCTCCATGTCCATGCTCAGATGGCAGAGAATGAAGAGGGTAATGGTGGTGGTGCTGGCGGTGGCAGTGGTGGCAGTGAAGAGGATCCCCCTTGCAAACACCAAAGCTGTGAACAGAAAGACTGCCTGGCCAGCAAGGCTTGGGACATCAGCTTAGCCCAGCCTGAAAGCATCCGCAGTGACCTAGAGAGCTCTGACACACAGTCGGATGATGTGCCAGACATCACTTCAGATGAGTGTGGCTCCCCCCGTTCCCATGCTGCAGCCTGCCCCTCGACCCCCAGAGCCCAGGGTGCACCAAGCCCAAGTGCCCACAGGAACCTCACTGCTCCAGCGGAGGGCCAGACTGTTCTGAAGCCAGAAGACTATGAAGTGGAATGAAGGCTCCTGCTCTGAGAAGCACACTTGTTGTAACTGCATCTTTTGGAATCTTTTTTGGGGGAGGGTGGGGATTTATGTATTTTGTTTAAAGATTCTCTGGTCAGGGTTCCCCCAGGGAAGTTCTGAGAAATTTGCAATTTCTTACCAGATAAAAAATGAAATTTATGCCTCTAATATCCCTCCCCTTAAACCCCTTGTTTTTAGTTTTAATTTATTGGTTAAGCTGATGTTGGCAATCTGTGAGGTGTGTCAAAGAATGTACATATGTATGTGTGTATATTGTATGTATGCTAACATATTATTGATGACACATTTTAATAAAGATTTCTGTGGTAGTTCACCTCATCTCACTGTCCTTGGCTTGGGTAGTCCTGCAGAGCCAAGTGTTTATTGGAAGAGTAGTCTGTCTTTGATACTTGTTAGACCTGAGGGGCTTCTGAACCCCAGGGAGAAAGGGTTTTCTATTCCACCCTGCTGTCCTGACAGAAGCAAAGCCAGGCTAGCTTTGCTGCTGTGTAGTCTGAGGCTGCTGGAGAGGGAGGAGGGAGGAGACTGAGCTGACTTGTTGGCCCTCTAGAGGCAGCTCGCACTGCTCCTGTTGGGGCCTCACTCCCCATCCTTGATAGTCACTGTTAGTCCTTGGGGTGGCAGTGTGTGGAGAGGGCTTGGTGACCCTTCCAGGGCCACAAGTTAGGGAACAGGGCATTCTTTTCTCTCCCAACTGGGGCGCAAACTCAGGACCTTGTGCATGCTGTGCAGGTGCTCTACTCTTGAGCTACAACCCAGCCCCAGGAGCAGATGCAACTGCACGATCTCCAGGCAGTGGCATGGGTGTTGGCTGTGCTCTCAGGTATACACTTGCTGCCGCAAAAGCCATGCTCGGTGTTGCCAATCTAGTTTAAGGAAGACTAAGAAATCAGGCCTCTGATGAAAGGAGGCATGCCACCAAAATCTCTGAATCTAATTGTGCCTGCTCTTAGACATTTTATCAGAATTGAGCTGTCAGTAGTAGGAATTTGGGCACTGTCAAGAATAAGGTCCTTGGTGTTGGGGTACAGTTCAGCGGAAAAATGCCTAGCATGTAAGGCCCTGGGTTCAATGCCCAGCACCACAAAACAGTAATAGTAATAATAAATAATGTCTTTAGAAATGAAAGCTCATACAAAGAATTTCAGGGAAAGTGACCAAGAGACTTGCATGGTTCAAGATCTGACAGCAATAACCCTGGTGACCATGGCAGCTGCTTTCTGTGTCCCCATTTTTTTTTTTTTTTTTTTTTTTGGTTTTTCGAGACAGGGTTTCTCTGTAGCTTTGGAGCCTGTCCTGGAACTAGCTCTTGTAGACCTGGCTGGCCTCGAACTCACAAAGATCCTCCTGCCTCTGCCTCCTGAGTGCTGGGATTAAAGGCTTGCACCACCACCGTCCAGCAAAAATAAATCTTTTAAAAAAAAAAAGAAAATCAAAAACGAGCTTTCGAGAGGTGAAGACGGCTGTAATCGATGGAGAGCTATTGTTTCAAGCTGTGACCAGGCCAGCCCCACTGTGGATCTTAAATGAAAGCACGTACGTGCTTTAGTTTCTGCTGTAGCTCTTTGTTTTACAACTGCTTTGTCTTTTCATGTAAACAAATGCGATCTCTCCAAATATAGCAAACCATTAAAAAGAAATTGTTGTATACCCTGTTATTTGTGATACTGCTTCTGAAGCAGCTTAAACTGACTGAATAAATGCTAGAAATTCAGGCTGAGAATATGCCCTTCTGTTTTCAGGAAGTAACATTTTTTCACAAGGAGGGTTGGTACAATTAGTTTACTTAAGGGGGGGCGGTGTCTGTCTGTCTGTCTGTCTGTCTGTCTGTCTGTCTGTGTGATCTTTGCATCGTGTATGGTGCACCAAACAGTAGAAGCTCTGATGAACAACACCTGTCTTTGTCAGCTCAGTCTCACCTTACTGCTGTCTCCTCTTGCTTCCTTCCCCAGTTATGCTGTTATTGCCTATGGCTGTGCCAGCTGCCCAAAACTAACCTGCGAGAGGGAAGGCTGCCAGACTGAGTTCTGCTACCACTGTAAGCAGATATGGCATCCAAACCAGACCTGCGATATGGCCCGTCAGCAGAGGGCTCAGACTTTACGAGTTCGGACCAAGCACACTTCAGGTCTCAGCTATGGGCAAGAGTCTGGACCAGGTATAAGCTGGCATTTCTTCATTGTCTCCTTATTGGTATCTAGAATGTACATCCAGAACTAAGAGATTGTCTCACTGTGTAGTCAGGTAGCCTCGAGATCAGAGAACAGAAAATACTTGGTTCTTCTGAATAGCTGAGACTACAGACACATTTGGTTACAGGTTTAATGATACATCTGCTGTGTTGCTTCTTGTTGGCCATGATAGGTAATCCTAGCTGTGTAAAATTGGGATACAACAAAATGGAACTTTCAAGTTGCTGTCTTAGTATTTGTCTCAGCTTGGAGAGCTCTTTGCTTTTTTCCATGAAGGACAGAGAACCATTTAATTAGTGTTAAGCCTGTCCTGCTTGTCATCTAGCTTGAAGTGCGTCACAGCTTTTTGAAGTAGGGCACAGATTTAAGAAAAGAAAATAAACACTGTTTAGGTTAATGATTAACCTGAAAGGGGAACTGTCTCAGTCACCCTCCACTTTGATTATTAAGAGCAATCTTTAAAATGTCAGCATCTTTTAGATGTACCTTGTCTTAACTGCTGTCATTTGAGCAGGTTAGTAGGAGACAAATCATGCCATTTGCTTTTTCCTAACACAACACAGTCTCTGAAATGGTCACTTTGACAGGACAGTTTGTAAATGCTTGTGAAAATCACCAGGTACATGCTATATAGATGTTCATGTGGCTTCTGATTTTTAAATTTGAAAATGTCATGGGAAGGAATTGTAAATGGTTAACAACAAAAGTTAGTTTGCTAAAGAACTGTTGTCAAAACTTAAAGCTGACCGGGCTGCAGAATTTTTTTTGCTAAAATGGCCTGTTTTTAATCTGTCAGCCACTGACGACTGGTAGAAATTCCATTTGCCTTGGAACCGCTAGTCCGTCTCCATGCCCTGCTGTGACTCAAGTGCTGTGTAAGATGTCAGTTACAGGAATAGGCAGCCTAACGTGAAACCAGACTCATTTTATGAGAATTCCTGAGTCTGGGGAGCAGCCCACTTGGTAGAATGCTCACTTAATGCATGCACTAAGCCCTGAGATGATCTTCAGCACCATAGAGGTCAGTCATGGTGGCACATGCCTGCAATCCCAGCACTGGCCAATAAAGGCAGAGGATCATAAGCTTAAGATCGTCTTCAGAAATTACATGAGACCCTGTTCCCAAAACAAACACACACAACAAATGTTCTGGATATTTATAGTCAGCCTTTCAGGAAAGTGTTGTACAATTTGGAATCTGCAGGCAGTCTCCTGACTGCCTTGTCATCATTTTTAACGTACACTCTTAGTATTGACTAGTAAAGTCAGACTAGATTTAACTGGGGTGTTTTTTTTCTCCCTGTCTTTCCTTTCTCACCTAGCAGATGACATCAAGCCATGCCCACGATGTAGTGCTTACATTATCAAAATGAATGATGGAAGCTGTAATCACATGACCTGTGCAGTGTGTGGCTGTGAATTCTGCTGGCTCTGTATGAAAGAGATCTCCGACTTGCATTACCTCAGGTAAGGTGGGCCATGTGTCTGTCGCTCTTGTCATCCTATTCTCTTGCTCACTGGGGGTAAAGGATACCAAAGAGCCATAGTTGATCCCATTCACAGAAAAAAGAAACTTTTTTAAAGCTCACCTCTGGTGTTTTCTCCAGCAGCCTTGGCTGTCTGTCTTCACTACCTTGCTCTCTTACCTGCTGCATGACTTTTAGGGCTTTCCACAGTCTGGTTAGTCATGCTGTTCAAATAATCTGAGCTTGCTGTTCCCTGTGTCTCTTCCTCCAGGTTTGCTCATGTTATCTTTTTGGCTACAGTTACTTTCTGACCACTTCCGCCTCCTTGCGTCACCCTTTATCTCAGACTGTTCAGTTTCTGATGTTTAGGTTTACTTTTTCATTTTTTAAAGTTATTTCTTTTGTGTGTATGCACTTGTGTGCACCATACTGTAATACATGTAGAGGCCCGAGGACAACTTGTGGGGTCAGTTCATGTGACTTCTGAAGGTTGAGCTTCATCAGGCTTGAAAGCAAGAGCCTTTACCCACTGAGCTGTCTTGGCCCTCCTATCTCCCCTCCTCTTTTTTTGAGACAGGGTCTCACTGACCTGTAGCTCTGGCCCAGAACTCACTATGTAGACCAGGATTCACACCCACAGAGAACTGCCTGTGTCTGTGTCCTGTTTAAAGGTGTGCACTGCACAAAGGTGTAGGCTTTGTTTGTTTTTTGAAACAGGTTGGCTGATTTTGTCTTGAACTTGACATAATTCAGCTTCCTCAGTAGACAAGTGTCACTAGGCTTGGTTTGCAAAGCTTTTACTTGTCCTTGAAAGCAACTTAAATGCCACGTCATCCACCAGCTTTCCAATTTCTGCTGCGTCCTTCAGTGCCATGCCTTTTTCTCTTTGCCGTTAAGTGTTGATTTACAACACTTTTTGCTGTACATGTTGCTACTTCTTGGTACTTCATACCTAATCTGATTAACTGATCTTTTTACAGTTCTTTCCACATAGTAAGTTTCTAAAGGATTGAGTGACTCTTACCCTACATAAGTTAGCATTTAGTAACATCATTGTGTAGCATTCACTGTGAGATGAGACACTTCATTTCCAGTTTGGTGAAAATTAGAAGGCTTATATATAGCAGTCATTGACTAGAGCCACAGGACTGAATAAGACAGGATTTCTACTTTTTACACTGTTAGCCTTATCAAGTAGAGATGGTAGCACAAAGGGAAGGAGGTAGAGAATCAGAGATAGAAGGGCAAGGGTCACAGTAGCCATACTCAGAGTTACAAACTCACAGGAAGGGCATGATGAGTCACTACTTTTCCCTAGGAAGCTGGTTTGTATCGGTTAGGTATGGTGGGACATGTGCCACTGAACTGCAGTCTGTTCTGAGCTGCAGGACACGGCATGTTGGCTGAGATATCAAGTGCATAAGCTAGACAGGAGCTCAAGTGGTGCCAGTCAGGGTAATTGTGTCCATGTTGTAAGGAAAATGTAGATACGTGCAGGGAAGAAAGAAAAGGAATTTCAATTTTGGAGGTCTTCCTTTACCAAAAACCCCCACAAAGTCCGGAACCCCTTGTCCTTTGCTCCCTTTTATCTAGTAGATCTGTTTTCTATTGCCTCCTGTCATTTAATGAGTCACTCTTATTGAAAAGATGGGTGT